GTGTTGATGGGCGAGCTAGCGCGGCCAATGTTAGAAAGAAATTGTGTTGTAGAGACGTGCGATTGAGTGCAGAAGATATGGAACCCTGACCCCGGAATTTGGGCGTTCCCACATCACAAGTCAGACGCAATCCAGTACGACGCAGTCGCGTGTAGGACAGACAGTTGGCCTTTGCGAGTGTTAGCTGAGAGTTATTCTGGCGTAAAGACTGTACAGTGATCTGAGTGAAGGGTAGAAATTGAACAGTTGAATCAAAAGACTATTGTGACAGCTGTGAATTGTATTTTATTTTTTTATTTTGATACTTGTTACCGGGGAAGAATTTGTAGCTGCTATGGACTGGCTATAAGACTGGTGTTTTCTGAAGCATCCTGTCGGCTGTTTTATTAAATGTTCTCAAAGAAGCTACTGTGGTCTGAGTTGTTCTGGATTGTTTGGTTCATCCTTGGCTCTGTAGTCGTATCTAGAGCTTCTGATCTCACTAGCCATAGATAAATATCACATTTGTTCACTACAGCTAATTTTGTAGCTCCACCAAAAAGGGTTACAGAAGGTTGTTGGTTCCTGCCACATGTCTCAAGTATCCTTGAGCAAGATACTGAAAACCCGCGAGATTCGCGGTCGCGCCGAGGAGGATCCTGTTGTGAGGAATGGTGTATGAATGAGTTATGTTGCTCTGAGTGTGGTCGTTTGCCAGTCACCTGAGAGTGAATGTGTGTGAAAGGGGTGGAATGATGGCATGTAGTGTAAAAGCGCTTTGAGGTGGGTGGGGAAGACTAGAAAGGTACCACACACTATCTCTGTCTGTTTTTTAACCCGAAATTAGAAAGAACCTTACAGCAATTCATTTGTTTTGATCAGCTGTTGTTAGGAAGCTGTTGTTATAAAGTGTCCGTTTTACTAAAACGGTTTTAGTTTTCCACACAAAGTTAACCAAGGTCAGTTCTCATCCTTTGAATGTTTGCCTTTGTGCTCTAGACTGAACTAGAACATTGTCATTATCAGCACTTTACGTCTTTGATATGGCTATGCATGTTGCTACCATATATGATATTAAAAAATGTTATTTGAACATTTCCTTTATTGATAAATACATCATATTACTGAGGCAGTCCAGAACAGTTACATTTTTCTAGTATTATGAGGGTCTATATTGCAGTACCTGATCAATAAAGTGCAGTCTTTTCGAGTGTTTTTTACCTAATAGTCAGGATGGAATATTTGGCAGAAATGGGACCCTTCCTAAAGGCCTTTTTGCGAACCTCAGTCACTTTCTTGATTTTCAGCGATTATCTAGAAAAGGAGAAAGCTGACTGAGGTTCTGACTGTTGGATGGATTGCCATGACACTTTTCATGATCACAGATCTTCTTGCTGAGTTGAAACATCAGGCTATCAAATATTTTTTCCACACATACTGTATACCATATAGTATTTTTCCTCTTCAGTGGTTCCCAATCTTTTTCCTTAAAGGACCCCTTGTCTATCATTTATTAAGCTAACAACCCCTGACTAAATGACATATTTTATGGATATTTTATATTAGATTAGTAACTGCAAGAAGTTTCTGTAAAAGCAGTGATTTGGATACAATCATACATACTTCTATAAGATTCCTTATTGACAGATTCAGTGTTTCTTGTCCTTGATGCTTGGCAATTGTTAGATTAGACAGTTGACTTTACATTTACTTTTCTTCACAAAAGTGAACAAAATGCTGAGATATAGGCCTACTGTATATATTTTTTTTACACCCCTTAAAATCAAGAAGGCCTTGCGGTTGGGAACCACTGCTCTAGGTGGGTGCACACACAATTGCAGTTCCTAAAGTGTCTCCTCTTTAACCAATATCACAGGTTCAACAGCAGAACATTTACAAAACAGACATGCAAAACATTTCAGAGCAGACTAAAACTAGCTGTTAGAACACAATTAACTAAAAGTAGGTTTCGTCACAGTGTCTTTTTTCATACCAGTTTATGCAAACAAGCCAAATTCACTTTAATCTCTGTGACATTTTAAAGTTTTCACAAACCTCAAAAACTTATTTAGAGTGCATAAATGACAAGAAAGAGATGTGATGAAGTGATGACGAGGAGGAGATATATATGGAGGAATGGGAGCGGGTAGATGGATGCAGAGGAAAACATGAAAGAGATTAAGCGGATGCTGTGGAGAGAAAGAAAGCTAATACAATAAAAAGATAGCATTGCCATGTTCTCATGTTTCTAATGGAGCCTCTTACAAAGCCAAGCACAGTGATACTGTGTGTATGTTTCATTCCAAGATAGAACAAGACTTTAAGATAGAGCATGACACAGACTGAATTAGGCAACATTATCATGTTTGAATAACATTACCTATGAAAGGGGTGGATGGGTTTATTATAATTAGCACTAAAACATCCATATTAATAAAACATGACACATTACAGTACAATGTGATAGAATAGTCGAAATAGACCAAAATACTGGTACTGGTTTATATATTCAAAATTGCATTACAGTACAATTACAGTAGTTTATTGTAAATCGAAATTGCTGTATCGAAATACAGCAACTTGCTCACTGTAAATATCCAAGTCACTAAGTCCATACCATCTACCTGCACACCACCTATGAGTGATCAAATGTATGCTTATTGTGGTGGTTGTAACTACATGCACAGCAATATTAATTGGACATGCAACAAACACTTGTGCTTTCTTTTATGGACTGTGGCCAAATTGATTATGGTTAGAGAGAAACTGTAGTAAACTGCAGTCAAGTGCACCATGAAAGCGAGCTAACACAGAGTGAGAATAAATGCTGCCACCTACCTGTAATGAACCTGAGATACTAACCCTGCATCATTAAAAAAGGAGGACTGAAACTGGAGTGACATGTATCAGTACTAGTAAATTATGTGACCATCTGTACAAGTCCTGTACTGTCAAGAAAAACTCCTGGAAAAGACTATTATCAGACTATCAGACTATTATAGACAGTAAGACTGTAACTAAACAAATAATCACTGAACTCTGGAGAAGGAAAACCCTGGACAAAAGTCAGCGCCTCCCATGGGACATTCTGGACTTATAATCCAGCACTTTATAGACATTAAACTCCCTCTCTCTCTGACTGTATGCACTTTATAAATGTTTACTGATGCACTTTATTGTTAAAATGTCTATATAATGTGTAATATGTGTACAATTTAATGAAGTTGTTTTAAAAAAAAGAAAGGTAGGAAATTCATATCAAACACTTGATAGTTAAAATGAGCAGAAGAGGGAAGGGAGGCTCTTCAGATACTTTAAGTCAAAATTTGCCAGGGGTATGAATAATTTCGGGCTTGACTGTATATTCTGTCAATACGGGTTTTAGTTTTTAAGTCAAACCTAGTAAAATCATTTCCAAATGGGTTAACAGCTCCACATACATCAGTTAATTTTGCTTCTTTACACATTTCTTTTAAAAGTTTCCCCTCAGAGCTCAGTCTAAACACTGTGCTGCTGACTCGGTCGTTTTCTTCAGTTACTGTATTAAAATCTCCACATAAAATAATATTATATCCAACCAGAGTTAATTCTGAGAGCTTTCTGAACAACTGAAATTTCTTAGTTACCTCTGGAGCAGTGTAAACATTAATAATGCAATATTTTTCACCCTGATAAAACCAATCCAACATGAGCAGTCTACCTGGGACAATGTCTCTACTCCGGATTATCTCAACATCATGAGTTTTGAAAAATATCACTGCTCTCACCATTTGATAACACTTTTTCCTTTTTGCCACAGATTCATTACATCATCAACGTCCTTTGTTTCCAGTGTCAGCTCTTGAGTCCACAGAACATCAAAGTCAGTATTCAATAAATAATTAAATTTTCTGATGTCTGAAAGCACTCGACTGAATACAGCGAGTGTTCCAGGTGGAGATTTTTAGGAAGCTCATAATAAACAGGAGGGTGTTGGTTCTATGGAGATGGTTCATCATCTAGACGTTTTTCTTGTTTACCAGAGGTGAACGTACCTTGTCTCTTCTGACAAGTTTAAAAGGGGGTTTATTATGAGACTGGAGCATGGTAGGATCGGGGAACTCTGATGTTGGGCAGGTGTGGATAACCGTAGCTCTGCTGCAGGGAGCAACTCAACGATGGACCAGACTGCTGCTTGGAGGCTGGTTGAGGACCAGACTGCTAAAGATAAAAATCTATCACATATCTATCTAAAAATGCATAGTGACCGCCCTCTACTGGTTGTAACCCTGCCATTGCAATTTAATTTAGCTACTAGCTGATTAGGAAGCAGGTGACACGGTGGAAACCCCTGCTTCTATAAAACCAAC